AGCTCTTTGATAGCTTCATTTATTACTTTAATTTTTGGTTGTAATATTATAAATTGTACTCTTCTTTTTACTTTTATTTTTTATTTTTTATTATTGGTTATTATAATTTTACGTTGCATAAGATTCTCGTGCAAACAATAATGTTTATTTTACAACATAGGAAGCAAAAATAAATAAATCAAAATCATACACAATAAGTGTTTATTATAATTTGAAAAAGCAAGATTTACGTGTCAATATAAATGGGGAATGAAAAGAAACAAAGTTATGTTCGATAAAAGAGTTAAATAATAATTAATAATAATAATAATATGAGTCGAAATACCTTCTATAAATAAAATATTAATATGAACCTTAAAAATAATCCAAAATGCGTTAATTTGGACCAGATTTTCTAAAAATTAGTTTTTGTTAAGGCGTAGTCGAATCTCAAACACCGTAGCCGGTATAATTGTAATAATAACAAGAATTATCCCAAGACCAGAACGTTTATTAAGTATTGATACAAAAAAACAATTACATTCCAAATAGTGTTGTGTTGTGAACAATTATTTGTTTGAGTGAAGGAACAAGAACAGGTAACAAAATTTTAACCCATGCAATTGTTGACTAATCGTGAATTTGATAATGTAAAAATAAATGTTGGTTTGATTCATTTTGTCAACAATCACTTCACCAACAGTTGTTTCACCAACAAAAGTAAAAAATTTATTCCCAAAAAATTATTTTATCCTAATGATAATTCTATATGTCATTGTCATGTCATTGTCACTGTCATTATCCTTGTCCTTGTTCTATTCTTGATTCTTTAAGAAATCAGTTCATTCCTTGAAACTCTGATTTACTTTTTGGGACATTCTTCGGTTAGGCCAGTTTTATTGTTTTTTTATTATTTATTTAAACGGTTATTAAAAAGTCAAAATATTCATTTTGGAGCTATTTTTATGAATTTAAATTACAAAAATAGCCAGAAACTTGGGAATTTATTTGGTAAAGTTTCAAATCTACATATAAAATATTGTGTTGTTTCTGCAGCGGTTCCAGACTATGGACACTGATTGATTTTACCATGATGCTTATCCCGGAATTTTACTAGATCCTTTCCTTCACTGATGGAATTATCTGAAAAACATGTTTTTCAGGATATATTTAATACATTTACCTAGTTCCATTATCGAAATCCACAGTCCATCAAATCATTGATCTATCTTCACTACTATAAGTTGAAAAAAATTTAAAAACTAGAACTATATTTGCATTATGTAGAGTGATGATTCCGTTAAATGTTTCCAATTACTGTATCAATATTTGCCTTTGTAGGGAAATTATTTTTATTACCAATGATTGTTTTTCTGTCAATATTACTTTTATATAATCACTATTATTTTCCATGTTTTATTATAAAAAATTTTATGATAATAATAATTTACAAAAACATTACTCAAGCATAACCTTAAAAATAGTCAATCTCACTATCAGTTGGTAAGATACATTGTTTTGTAGTAATTTTATAATTATTATTACATAACTAGAACTATTGTAACGAACTTTGTATTAGATATTTTTATTTTATTTATATACTATATAAATTTCTATTAATAATTTTTGATTCAATATCCATATCCATTGCTGGTTTGGATATTTGTATATATTCTTGAAGTCCATCAAATATAATCGGCAAAGAATCAGGATCTTTGTCACTATTACTATGAAACAGGGTTGGCAAATGTGTGGTCTATTGGGTCCATTAGTGTAATACTTTAACCATATTTAGTATTTTATTAATGGCCCAAAATCCATCAGTTCTCAATGGACCAGTCAATTTGCCAATCTTGCTATTAAAAATTTCTTCAAGCTTGGAATAATTTCATTTTCAATACGAGAAACACATTTGTTATAAGCATTCTCAGCATGCATCAAAATTTCTGTACCCGTAAGTGAAACATCCAACACATTTTCATAATTAAGCGGAAAATCTTTCATAAGTATATTGTACCTGTGAGCTAACATAATAATAATAATGTATATTAATTAATTAAAAAGAGAAATATCTTGGAAACGATTATTAACAATTTTTAGAGGAAAAATAAAGGATGATAATAATAACCTGTTTCAATGGCTTCTTTCAAGCCAGTATCAGCCATAAAAGATACAGTTGCATGAAATATTTTTCCAGATCTTAAAATATCCAAGGTCAATGCACTATAATTACATTTAATTAATTAATCAATTTGATATTATTTCTATATCATCACGCAATATTTTAATTATCATACCAATTTGATCATTTTCCAAATTGTTATTGATACCATCCAAAGTAAGGATACTGGCTGCAACTTTTGATGATGGTTGCAATCACCTTTACAACCATTTTGTTTCCTTTTTTGGATTGCGAGATGGAACACTAATCCAAAGCAGCTTCCATAACCAAAAGTTAATTTCTTGTGCGGCAGTTTCACTAGAGTGATTGCGTGTTAGCTTAGTGACTTTCTGAATTTTTTTTACCCAATAATTTACACCTGCTTGAAGTTTGGGTCAATTTATACTTGCCACCCAAATCCCAAAGCTGTCCCAAATCCCAAATCCCAAATGGTCCCAAATAGTCCCAAATAATAAAAAAAATTTTTTTTTAATAATAAAGGAAAAATTTTAATGCTTGTAGGTAAGCTTTTCTTGTGTTAAATTACATTTATAATTAATAATAATGGTGATAAATTTATATTTAAATTGAAATTTGGTAAAGATTTTTTTCATTTAACATTTATTATTTGTTGAATTACACCTATTGTAATTTTATTACAAATATTTATTTACAATCACTAATGATTATGTCATATTCATCAAATTCCGAACTAGCAAAGTATTTGTTATATATATTATCACTAACTTGATTCATTGGAATATATTTTATTATTCAGGTACACAGGGAAATACAGAACCAAGTATACATTTATAATTTAATTATGTAATTATTTTTATCTTTATATACATACTTATCTATTATATCTTATATAGCAAATGCTATAATTTAATGATGATGTAATGTTTCAAAATGATGATAATGGTGATAATTTAGTTGATGACCCTGATGATAGTGTAGTGATGAATGTTTGGACATGTATGTCATTGACTTAAATCATGAATTATTAATAAATGTGTTGATAGTAATTTAATTGATGAATTTGTTGAACATGGTGATATTGATTTTGATATTGATGAAATATTAAATAGAGTAGAAAGTTAGATTATTTGGACCATTGCATTTTTATGGTTTTTTATAATAAATTTTTTGCTAATAATGTGTTTTATGTAAAGGATAAGAGAATATATCTATTGTTTTGATCTGTATATAGGGGATTTGGGACGACTTTGGGATTTGTACTACTTTTGAAATGGGCTTTGGGCATGGGATTTGGGATTTGGGATTTGGGCGGCAAGTATAAGTCAATTGCATCAACAGTAATTCTTATTCCTTCTTGTTTACACTTAAAAAAACAAAATTGTAATCATCATCTTCAAGATTAAATATCAATATATGATAATTTAAATCGTAATTCAAATTGAAAATTTACCTTTTCGATAATTTTTTGGATGAATATTTAACAAAGTTTTAGGTATAGCAGCCTTTTCTTGCAGATGAAGCAAACACAATTTCAATTCAGTGGTCTTCTTTTTACTCATCGGAGTTCCCATTTTAGAACCATCATATTTCTTGCCAATAGTACTAATATTTTTTGCATTATTAACATAGGTATCGAAATAAGGAGCAACGGCTAAATGGATATAGGAATGAATTGTATCATATGGATTTACAGCAAATGATCTAGATTCACTTGGGGAAGGACCAGGTAAACTTACAATTTGTACTTGAGTTTGAATTGGAATTATGGGATCCAAATTTGGAATATGTTTTATTATTACAACGGAAGCGACATGGTTCTAATAATAAGCAAGTTTTTGTGATAAAGTATAAGAATAAGATATGGCTTGATCATCTACAAAATTATTATTATTATAGTTATTATTAAAAGTTGTTACAATAATCAGGAAATCCGTAAACGGACATTTCAAAATAAAAATATCAAATAAATAAATTACCTTGATCATTATTTTCAATTTTTGTAATGTATATATATAGCATTGGCCTGAGGGTCGTTTCCAAATTTCCCAAGCTTTTCAAAAGTTTCTGGGAAATTCCATAAAATTACTTTTTAAATCATTTTCTTCGGCTCTTAGAAGTAACGATAAAAGCTTGTTGAGATACTCTTGTAGAAGTTTAGGCTCGAAAATTTGTGGAATTTGTTTATTGGTACCGGTTCTGTTAAAATTTTAATTTGTTTTTTATAATTTAGTTAAATAAAATAATCCATATTTTAATAAAAGCTAGAGTGACAATAAGTGGTGATAACCACCACCATTCTTATCATAAACACTTACTTGCAGACGGCACCAAATTCGTCCGTTATTCTTTTCTTTATAACTAGAGTGACGAAGAGTGGTAATAACTACCATTCTTGTGATAAACCACAATCAGTTACTTTTCTTTTTTTTTATTATTTTTAAAAAAATAACTGAGTGACGACGAGTGGCGATAACAACCACCACCATCCTTATGATAAGCACTTACTCATTTTGCACCTTATTATTTTCTTTGTTTCTTTTGGTGCTTATACAATTTTTTTTTTAAAAAGATAATTATTGATTTGATCCACACATTAATTATTTATCCTATTGGTAATCATTATTAATATATAATTATAATATTACAATTACAAGATATATCACGGCAGCACGACTGACTGTTGCAGAAGTAACATTTTGATTATCAGAAATTTTAGAGACATTGAAGCACTCATGCTACCTTGAACACTTTACAGTCATTCTCACGTCTTCCCTCATGTACACAAGGTCAATATGACTACGTTTCTCCTGATGCCGATAAGTTAATAATATTCTTAGTATTTTATCATATAGTCTAAAAGCCTATTAGTAAATATTAAAAGTGCTAATATTTAACAGATATTCTTCTAAAATTAATCCTATTTTTTAGTTAATTATTGGCTTAATTTAACAAACCAATAACTCTTTCATATTGTAATTAAGTTATTGGTTAAATATTTCTAAAGCTTTTTGTTTAAAATAATAGGGTTTCTATTTGAATGAGGTTTACTCGAATAAAACAAATAATAAAACTAATAATTCAACTAAAAAATAATTCGAATAAAACGAATAAAAACGAGTAATAATAAAGCAAATAAAGCAAAAAAAGAAAATAAAGCGGGTAATAATAATTCAAATAAAGCAAAATTTGTATTATGCATTAATATTAAAATCAAAAAAACAACAATAAACAAACAAACAAACAACTTTTATTGCGAAACAATAATTTTGTTCCTTTGGTGCTAATGATTGAATCAATCACACAGATAGTAGTCAATTTAAACAGCACTGTTTTTAAAGAAAATAATATTATTAAATGTTGCAAATTTTTTTGATGTCAATCTCAAAATCAATCATGTTTAAGTTTCTTTTGATAAATAATAAAATTATCCTTTGTTTATTTGCTTTAATAGATTCAAATAGATTTTATTAAATCAAAAATGGTACACTACAGCAAAGTTTCAGAGAACCCAAGTATATCAATTACACGAAAACACACTATTAAGTTAACTTATTACAAAGTCACTTTTAAAGTATAGCGAATTCTTGTTCCTTATGTAAATGTTTAATTAATTAATATCCCAGTCTGGGCGAATTATCACATTTGGGAATTATTGCCATTAATTACTTCACTATTGTCGAAATATTGGGCCAGCCCGGTATCAGAAAAACTACTTTAGCCCTTCATGCGGCAAGCAAATGTCAAAAACAAATAAATATACGGAATGTAATACCAATATTAATATATTAATATATAAATATTAAAGATTACTCCGGGATTATAGTGTTTTCAATTAGCGAATTAACGTCAAATTCAAATCCCGTTAACACATATAATAAATGGATCACAGCATGTATGTACATATTATTCACGATATTTCCATTTCTTTTCCCTTTTTAAATACTTACCAATCATAATCGCACTCAATTTCACCCATTCAAAAATGAAAATGATATATTTGTAAAACTAAAGCTAATATACAAAATATATATAAAGAAAGGTTCGTAGTTTTTTATGCAAACAATTTTCTTATTTGTATTTCTTAAGTCAAGATTGACAAGTTTTTTGTAATAAACCGAACACTGACATGAATTTTCATTATAAAAACTGAACACAGACTTTTTATCTATTCTTGATTTAACGTTTAATTAAATAAATAATCATTTTTATTATACCAAAAAAATGGGGTCCATTGATCTCATATACATTACCATAAATATCCGACCACTTTAATAATTGGAAATGTTACGCTTTATACAGGACCCCGAACAATCTTAGTAGATGTACATTTCAACTTTGGGTAGAATCACCCTTTTTTTTTGATGATGGTATATTTGAAAAGCGGGTATAAATGGTACATTTGAAACTGGGTATTAGTATTGACCTCATATTAATATGGTATATTTGAAAATAGGGTATTTTAAGAAATTTTTGTAAGGGTGTTATTTTGAATTTTTAAGCGGTGCGACGATTTTTTTTCTTTTTTGTAAATAAATAAAAAATATAAAAATGATAAAATATATCAAACAACGTCTTTAATCAATGAATACATTTAATACATTTGAAAAGTTTCTGAAGATCAATCGGAAAATAATATAACATCAATGTGTTGGATTCTATTAATAAAGAACTCTTATCAGAGTGATGTTAAACTACACAGCAATTGATGTTACCACAATCAGCATGAATTTAATAATTCATTATATATAACCTTATAAAATAAGAGAATTAAAAGCAAATTTGACAATAATAATAAAAGGAAAAAGAATCTATTCAAAATACTTCTCAAAATTTTTTTCACAAGAGTTAAAAATTATTACGAAAATATATAAATATATATTACTCTATTCAAAAATAGTGCCAGTGTTTATAAAATTATCCAAATACTGGTAAATAAATCGTGTGTGTCATGTGATCATCATTTCATTACCGCACCACTTGTTTTCTTCAACTTATTGCTTGCAATAATGTAATTGGAAAAGATAAAACAGCAAAGTTCAATCCTATTACACATTTTAAAGGCGAATTACTCAAAAATTAACTATCAGTTAAAAAATAATTTGGAAAAGCAAGGCTTTGTTTTAAAGTTTATTTGAGACAAATTAGACAATTTTAGTAAAGTTATAAAGATTTTTGTAACTGCCACTTGTCTTTAGTAGTGCTGAACCACATTATTGACACCATGAATTATGTTTGAACTTTCCATGTTCTTTTGTATATTTCATCATTTGATTTTTCAAATATTAGTTGGGATGAAGTTTTGTCATCATTAGAAGATACAAAATAAGCATTTGCTTTTTCCTTAGACTAACGTAATAATCAAACATTTAGAATCAATTAAATTATTTAAAGTTCTCCGATTGTTTGTTCTATATATTAGGTTTCTCGTAATAAGATTACTCAAAAAACCTGTTGTAATATTTAACAATATACTACATATTCATCATATGAATAAATATTTATTATTTATTTTAAAATACAGTATATCAATAACAACATCAAAAAGAAAATCAATTAATATCATTTGTCATCAGTAACAACATTGAAATCTCTAATTTTCCTCTTTATTGTTTTATACTTGACGATTATAATATATTTATTAACCAAAATCGTTATCATCTATTGTCGTTGTATTGTGTTAATGATTGTTGTTGTAAAAGTACAGGTGTTTAAGGAGTTTTGTAAAGAGGCCAAATTTAACAAAGCTTTTAAGTGGCCAAGGAAAAGTTAATCAAAATAAGAAGGAATTTAAAAGAGGATTTTTTGCTTTATAAAGGGCCACATTTATTATTGTACCATAAAGTGTGTATACAAATTCGCCGAAACTTTCTAGGTACAAGACAAATGCAGCAAACAGAAAATTGGTTATATAAATTCGTAAAATAACTTAATTGAATATAAAAGCTTGCAATTAATCAACAAGTGTAGCTTGAAAGTTAATTCGAACTCAGTCAACCATAAATGTAAACCAAAAAGCCACCTTGCGATACAATTAAATACTACTATGTTGATTGTAAGAAGTTTGTATTTCATGGAATTGCAAATCTCACATTTCATTCTTAATTTTAAGTTTGTCAACATTACAAATTATTTTTATTCTTCAGTGCAATGACCAGAAAGCT